ATATGTGTGGCGTGTGTGCTCGGGCAGCGTCGAAGCCGCCGCGCCTGAGGATATGAGAAAAACAAAACTTGTTTTGAGCACACGACGCGAACGACGACGGCCCTCCACACGTCGATTGAGAATGTTACTGACGATGACGGCGACGACGTTCGTTCGCCTTCGTCTTTGCTATTTTTCTGTTTTTTTTCTCTTTTTTGCTAGCCTCGTTCGTCGTTCTTCTTTAGTAAAACGAAAGCACAAAACAAGGAAGAAGCAGGAACGAGAACTGAAAAATGATATTATGATCAGCTAGCTTTTTTCATAGTCCACTTATTCAGCAGCAAAGTTGACTGACGTGGTGTGACTCTTTTGTACAATTCTAGAACTCGAGAAGTGATCTATACCGTTAAAAGTTCACCGACGTACTTTGCTAGTCCATAATACAGCGTTCCAGCCCACACTGAATTCTTTTTTGTTGTTTTCATTCTTAGAAAAGCTCCAACACTCATTAGACGTCCTCATAGAGTACATTCTCAAGAACTCCAGTTCTATGTAAACAGTTTTCTTGTCCTCGTCGCCATCGTCATTTTCTTTTTTTTCCCATATCTTTTTCGCATTTTTCATTACGGACAGAAAACAACGCCCCGGTAAAATCTATCCAGTGAAAGTTTCGTCTCAAGGATTTTTTGTGAAACAAGAACTTTTCGGTAAAACCTCAACAAAAATTTTTGTGAAATAATTCTGTAGATTTTCGAACATTCTTCTGGCTCGCACTTTTAGTTCAAAAAATGTGACTTATTAGAAATTATAGTTCTCCCAGTCTTGTGATAAAGAGAACGGAAATTAGAAAATGAGACTAAGTACTAGGAATCAGTCTGAAAATTATTAAGTTTTTGATCTTTCTTTTTAGCTCAAAAAAACAGCTAGATAATTTTTAGCGGATTTTTCTTATTCAAGCTTAAAGCTAAATTTTGAGCGAAGTAAGCTACAGTAAGTTCTAGGCTTCCGTTTGGAATTTAGCCAGTTTCTGACCATTTTTTAGTTTCAAATTTTCTGCTAGTTCCGATTTGAGCAATTTGAGTTGCGCTTTTCAGCATGAGACTGATTTTCAAGGTTGTATACTTAAAAAGTGAATTATTTTTTGAATATAAGACAATTCTCCAAATTTGACTTTTGTGGAACTACCGTAATTATTCTCATAGAATGACCCCTAACTCTCAACTTTAAGGTCAATTATCTCGGTCCCTATACAAGATATCAAAAACCTGTTCACTGATAAAACATTGTTGATAATATTTTGAATAATTGATCAGTTGACAACTTTTTCGTATCTTCGACAGAAACCAAAAAGAATTAACTCAAAGGTTTTACGGTTTTTCAAAATACCGTGAGCACTCTAACAGAAATCTACCTTATACTTGCATTTCAAGCTCAATTATCTCGGTTCCTTTATGTGTTATCAGAAATTGGTAAATTGATAAAACATTGGTGATATCATGATAAACTATTTGTTAGTTGACACTTTTTTATATCTTTTGAAGGAACCAAGATAATTGAGCTCAAAGTGCATGTATAACGTGGGCTTCTATCAATCAAGTGTCCTTGTTTAGACAGGTGTAATTTCTTCCTTGTACTTTTGCATATTCCCTGTATTCATTCCTTCAGTCATTTTTAGTCAAAAACAAGTGTATCTCACTCCTATGGTACACCGTCTTCTTCTTCTAGAATAATTTTGCTCTCTTCTCGTTCGTTCGTTTTTCTCTTCTCCTCCCGATCCACGCCTTGTTATTCACACGGAGACGTTCGCCAATTTTTCATTTCCTCTTTTCTTATTCTCTTTGGTATTCTATACGCTTCGTCTTATTATAGTTTTTACCTTCAGGGAGCACCGCGGTTTTCCTCAATGAACTGAATCTCTCCCGTGCAGCAGTTTGTGTGAATGTGAACTGTTTCTGTAACGTTGTCTTAAATCATAAACTCCCAACTACCTCCCAACTACCTCATTTCTTTTGTAATTTACCTCATCTACTACTACTACACATATATCAACACATCAATCGACAAGAACGGATCTACCTGGAAACGAAGAAAACCCCCCGACCTCAACCTACAAAACATACATACCAGTTGTCTCTATAATTGTACATTCCTAAATTGAAATTGAATTTTTTTCTTTGATTTCAAAACCAATCTACCTCTAACCTGTAATTCCAACTTTTTCTTCTTCTCGTCTATTTATTCTCCTCCCTTTTGGCAATGGCGGACAATTTACTTTCTTCGCAAAACTATATTAACTGGACAATGCTGAATAAGTTCTATGGCAAGGTTTGTTGTTGCGTAAATCTCCTGTGGGAACGCTCTGGATATTTTCGTAGTGGTTCCAAAATTTCAATCAAAACTCTTTTCCAACCTTATCGGTATACCTGGAGAACTGGGAGAAGCGGAGAAATAAACCAAAAAAAAAACACAGACAGACGCCGGTGACGCCACCCACTTTTTCGCTCGCCGTGCCCTCCCGCATGGAAAAATTTGTCGTCCTGGCCTCCCGCTCTTCCTTCCATTCTCCCGTTCTCTCTCTCGTTTCCAACTGCCCTTTAGTTTTTTGTGATAAGGCGCCACCTAGGTTCAGAAACTAGAAAAAAGTATGTTTCAATCTTTTTCTGATCTAAATAATCTATTCATGTATAATCTACTAGTCTCATCGTTTAACAAGTCTAGCTATTACTGGCCAATTAGTCCTCTATCATGTTATTTATCAATGACGGTGAGTCTGGAATAGAGCCTCTGAAAAAGGGATTATGGATAAAGGAACGTGATGATCCGAGTAAGAGGAAATGTACTGCATGGTTCTAGTGGTAGTTGTAATTGTAAATGTGAGACTGATTAAGCGTTGCACCTGTGGTAGGCTTGTGTTCTAATCATTATCATTTTTGCAGCCTCAGATGAGCACTCCGGATGATCCGGTCATCCACAGCCCTCCCTCAATTGGTGCCGCACCAGGAATGAACGGTATGTTGTACTTTTTGTACTATATGTACTTTTGTTCTATTCAAGAAACTTTTCTTCAATATGTTGTCATGTTGTTTCTATTATAAAACGGAACAATAGAACAAAAATTTGATTTTCTAAACGTTAACATTATCTGATTACCAAACAAAAAGCTTATCAGTAGTGAGCGAGTAAAATGCGTTGTTCTACTCTACTCAAAACATTTTTGTAATAAATATATCTGTCAGTTTTATCACTTTTCGTCAAAGTGGTGTGATAGTGGAAGAACACGGAAAACTCTTCTTTTTTTTCTCGAAACGCACTTTACACTTTTTCTACTGATCCGCCGCTCCAGCATCTCCCCGAGAACAACAGAGTAGTGAGCATCGGGGTGTACTATTGAAAAATTGAATGCACCTTCTTGCTCTCTCGCCCACAAGATCCACAAGTTCCTAGGGATCTGAGAAGATGAAAAAAAATTCGTTGGGGCGAGAAATCGGTGAACCAACCAACTGTTGCGGTGATTAAGATGAGATAAGATTTATTGCTTTTCAGGATATCATGGATCTGGGGTGAAACTTGAGGAAGGCTCTGGTGCTTGTGGCTCGCCGGATGATGGGAACATGGACTCTTCAGAAGTGAGCTCTTCAGGCATGGGGTCACTAAACGTTCTGTGATTTTTCAGGAGAGTCGTCGTCGTCAAAAAACTTGCCGAGTATGTGGTGATCATGCGACGGGCTACAATTTCAACGTTATCACCTGTGAATCTTGTAAAGCATTTTTCAGACGAAATGCTTTACGTCCAAAGGTAGTCTTCGACATCTTCACCTTCAAAGTTTACTTTCAAAATTCCAGGAGTTCAAGTGTCCGTATTCGGAAGATTGTGAGATTAACTCTGTAAGTCGGCGGTTTTGTCAAAAGTGCCGGTTGCGGAAATGTTTTACTGTCGGTATGAAAAAAGAGTGGATATTAAACGAGGAACAACTTCGGCGGAGGAAGAACTCCCGCCTGAACAACAACAGCACCTCGAACAAAAGAGCACAGCCAGGACATCAAATGTCACCACAACATCCAGGTCAGCAACAACCACATCAATCACCGGTCCCACACCCAGGAGTCGCTGTTTATGTGAGTTTACTGTATTTTTTGAATATTGTCCTGACCTAATTGTGCTTTAGCAACAACCGCAACGTCCGTTGACTATTAACCCTATGGATAATCAGGTAAGATTATTAAAGAGCAGAGTTTGGAAACAATTCTCTTACTATCCAAATTTTCAGATGATGCACCATATGCAAAACCGACCAAATGTGATGCCCCAGCTCATTAGCCCACCGGGAGCTCAACCAGTGAGTGTCTTGCACTCTTTTCATCTTTGAACGAGAGGGTTTTTATCTCACTATCATCATTTCATAAGGACATATCTTGCCCAGACGGTGATATGAATCTTCTTGTCACTTTTGCACTTGAAACAACTAGCGAAACCGGTTATATAAAGTCCTAGACTATGTTTTTTGAACGCGTTTTTTCTTTTTTTTTATCAGATCGGATATAGCATATTCTCATTGAATTACATATTTCAGTGACCAATTTTTCTTGAGATTAGGATTTTGTTGTTGGTGAAGTTCTGACACTCACTGAATAACAATTAATTAGAAAAGAGTCACAAGTTTTGCGAACATTTTTAATAAAATAAGCTGAAAAAAACGTTTTTGTATAACCTTTTGACCGGTACTCAGCACGTGACTTCATTTTCCATGGTCTGTGATACGGGATAATTTTCAGTACCCATTGACGTCTCCTGTCGGATCCAGTGCTTCCGATTCTCCACCAAACCGAAGTTTGACAATGATGCACAACGGCGAGAAGTCTCCAGATGGTGTAAGTTCAAAGATATGATTGTTCGAGCGAGAAGACGCTTTGAATGATGAATGTGACCGCTGACTGTGAGGGGCGAACCTTTAAAAAATCAACCTTCAAAATTTCTATGATAAAAATTATGTAACATCGTTCGAAAAGGCTCCATTTTATAATATCTAGAAATGACTCTGAAGGAACAAGTTCTCAAGAAAAATGGGGATTCAGATGCACCCTCGCTTTATTTGCCTTGCATTCTTTGTTTTCAGACTGTGAACATTTCAAAAAAAGTATAGAAATTTATGTTGCACCCTTGCTTAGTTTCACAACGAGCTTTTGAATGATAGCTGAACTTTTCACCACACACTTGTATCATCCAACTATCTTTTTAGTACGATCCAAACATGATGGCTCATCGAATTTCGCAAACGTCGCTGAACTGTCGACCAAAAATGGATGACAACGGACAGGTAATTAATCTATTCTTCCAATATCTTCTACGCAACCTTCAATCCCCTCTAACCCTTTGCATCGAGAATTTCTTCTTCTCTCTTTTCATTTTTTTTACTACGAATCACTGCACTTTTAACGAAGTAGCTTCCATTCTCCCCCGAAACCACCGCATTCTGAAGCAACAATTTTTCTTGCACGACCCTTGACAATTGCTAAACAAAAGATTTATAGGTTGTTCTTACCGCTGAAGAGTACAAGAATCTTCTCGCTCGAATTCCACAAAATCAGCCAGGACTCATGAACGAGGAGGAGCCTATCAACAAACGGTAACTTAATTTTCCTTATCAATTCAATCAACCGAACTTTGTTTGTTTCCAGTGCCGCTTACAACTGCAACGGTCACCCAATGCCAGCGGAGCACACGCCACCATACAGCGCGCCGATGAGCGATATGAGCTTATCTCGTAATAACTCGACCTCATCGGGTATGCAACCTCTGAACCACGTGAACGGCGCACCGCATGGTGAGATGATTCCAGGCAGCAGTGTGCCAACCCAATCGCACTTTGACATTGCCTCGTTCGGAATGGGAATCGTGACAGCGACCGGAGGTGGCGACGCCGCCGAGGAGATGTATCGCAAGATGACCAGCTTCTACGATCAGTGCATTCAATCGGCTCTCGACAGTCCCGAAAGCCAAGAACCAAAGATGATCGAGAACAAGCCAGACTATGTAAGTGTGAGAAAAAAAAGACAGTGTCTATTGTCTTATCTTGAAAACTGATTTGTGAGAAAGAGCGAGTGTATCGGCCGCTGCGATGAAGAAAGGAAACCTTGCACTTTTGAAGGTAGTGCCAGACAGTGGCAGGGTTCTCCGCGTCAACCGGTGGCAATCATATGCGAAACCTCCACCCCCTAAGAGCGAGTGTCAATCTTTTAGTGTCAATCGTTCATTCCACTTCTCACACTTATGTGTATCGTTCCTCTTTTTATTTTACCCAATCGCACAATTTTTCCAGATGACTCCAAATCACAACTTCCAATACAACGCCGATCCATACCATGTAGCAGCGGAAATACAACCACTTGAGCGTAACGTCAACTATCAGCTCAATGCTACGGAGCTTAAGGCACTGGATAATGTCCGTGAGGCGTTCTTTGGAATGGATGATCCAATGGAGCAAGGACGTCAATTGCAGTCGTTCCTCAAGGTTCGTGATTTTGGATTATTGAAGAGAGCCTCAGTCTCAGGTTCCTGAATTTCTTAACGGCTCAATTTTCAGGCCAACAAGTCACCGGCTGACATCATGAACATCATGGATGTGACCATGAGACGTTTTGTTAAGGTCGCCAAGGGAGTTCCAGCATTCCGTGAGGTGTCTCAAGAAGGAAAGTTCTCACTTCTCAAGGGAGGCATGATTGAGATGCTCACTGTTCGCGGAGTCACTCGCTACGACCCGCACACCAACTCGTTCAAAACTCCAACCATCAAGGGACAGAACGTTTCAGTCAATGTGGATGACATGTTCGCAAAACTCAATTCGAATGCGCAGGCGCAGAAAGAAAAATGCTTAGAGTGAGTTTTCCAGGGTCCAGTATCTAAGACTACATTGAAAAAGGGAAATACCGTGAACACTCTGAAAGAAGGCCAACTGAACCGTCCGCTTTAAACATATATATCTCAGTTCCTTTAAAGGTTTTAAAAGGTGGTTAACTTATAAATTGCTTATCATGTTTTCACAAACATTTTGTCAGTTGATCACCTTTGTGTATCATCTACAACAACCGAGATATATAAGCTCAAAGGTGGTATTTTTGGACAGTCTTCTATTAGAGCGTTTACAGTAGTTCTTGGAGTGAATTGATTACAAGGGTACATAGCGTTTTGTGGAGTTTGGGGTGAGGACAACAAAAAAACAAAAAATTCCTAACTTTTTAACTTTTTGCTAAAATTATATGCTAACGCCCTAAACACCAAGATCATATGTATCCAGCTAGAGGCCCTTGGATCCTAGACCGTCATCAAGAATCTCTGGACATCTTCTAGCTATTGTATTTCAGGTTCTTTGGTTTCTTCGACGAGGAGATCAAGAAGAATGAACTTGCCGTTTATCTAGTCATGTTGGCTGTTCTCTTCTCTGTACGTATCGATCCACCAATGAATGAAAATGACGTTCGCATCGTTACCGACCAACACAATCATTTCATGAGTCTTCTTAACAGGTATTCATAATCTGATTTTAAAAAATGTATTGCAACTTTCAAAATTTCAGATACTTGGAATCATTGTACGGAGAGCAAGCACGGCGTATATTCGAACGCCTTCCGAAGGCTTTGGGAATGCTCAATGTGAGTTGAACTGAACTTATCTAGTGAATCTAACCCATTTTTTCACAGGACATTGCTCGTAACGCTGGAATGTTATTCATGGGTGCCGTACGTTCTGGAGAAGCCGAGGAGCTGCCAGGAGAATTTTTCAAAATCAAGTAGATCTTCTAGTCCTACCCTACCTTTATATACCTCGCCTCCCCCTTCCGAATCAACGTTGCCTACCCCAAAACGATTCTAGCCACATTTCCCCTCTTACCTCATCCCCCTATACTCACACAATCTTATTTAAACGTTAGCAAATTTATCATATCATTGCTTATATCCTCTTTTTTCTTCAAATATTCTATCAGTTATGTCTTATGTCTTAAGGCCAGAAATTTTATTGGCAAAGAGAAAATCAAGAGGTTCTCTTCCCCAATAAAATTAGCTGGCTATATACGGTTACAGTTTTTCTTTTCTTTTCTCTCCTGCGAGTTGATGTTCGGTCTCCGGTTTTCTCTGTTCTACTTCTCCTCCTAACTAGAAACCATTTTTTATCCCAGCATCCGGTCGTGTTAACTTCTCTAAAATCTCTCAAAATCCTTCATCCCAGTAGCCCTTTGTTTTCAAATTCCCAGTTATATTGCCGTCTATTGTATTATGTGATTCATACAACCTAACCCCTACCTCTATATACTCAACCACTCAAATATCTCAGATTTTCATTCGAAGAACTGGTCTGGCACTGTTGAATTCTTCATTTGAATTTTGTAATTTTTTTCAAAGTTTCGTTGTTGAGTTTCTTTCATTTTTCCGTCTCTTTCTCCATCCCAAATTCTCCCTGGCATTTTGTTCATCTTCTAAGATTTCTTTCGTATTTTTGTGGTCCTGTAGTTTACCGATTTTTGTGCGCACCCGAAAATTCTTCAGTCCTAAAAAAAAGTCAATTCTTGCTTAATAACTTAATGTTTTATTGTGATTTGTCACTATTTCATTGTGATTTTGTGATTGAGAAACCCCCTATCTTCTTCTTTTTTTGTTTCAAGTACAATTTTTCCCGATTTCTATCTTTCCCCTTCCCACTACCACTGCACTTTTTTTCCTACACACCCTTTCTTTTCTGCACACTGGTCTTGTAAAGCTACGGTGATACTAATGGACTGTACTGTAGCCTATGTAACTGTTTTTCCCCTGCTAGCTCTTCTTCTTCTTCTTTTCCTCTTTCGTAATTATACAACACCACACCTCTATTTTTCTTTTGCACTACCTCGATCACACCATTTCTCGATCCATTTTGTTATTCATCCTCCTCTATATTTAACATCTGGCAGCACTTTTCTCTTCCAGTTACTTTTTAAAACTCACAAGCCTAAGCTTTTCTCCTAACTCTTCTCAGAATTTGTTTTGTTTCTCTATTTTATTTCTACCCGTTCTTCTCATTCGATTTCCAGTTCTATTGTATTATTTTCTGAAACTTTGTCTGTTGCTATTTTGTGAACTGTCACAATTTAGTGATACGTAGGTTTACGATTTCTCTGATATTCTCGTAAATATTCTGTTACCATCCCTCTTTTCCTTCCCCTCACCCGTTTCTTGTCAAAAATGAAGATGAAGTAAATTTTATTTTTCAATGTGACTTGCAAGTTTGTACAGCATGATATACAGAAACACTCTGGATGGAATCGTTGCAACCATAAATCTGAAAAAGATAGTTTCAATGGAAAAATCATTTTCTTCCCAGAAATCAACAGAAAAAAGTGAATAACTTCATGGAATAAAAAAGATAATGTTCACGTTCACAATCAGTTTTATGAATTTTCTTTTATTTCAAAATTAGGATGATGATAAGATAGTGTAACATGAATAGTATGTGCAGTGATGTGTCTGAAAATGAAAGTTTTCAATTCTGCAGTTGTTTGAGGAGGATTTTTGACTTGATTTTTTCCTCATTTTCAAATTATGCGAATCGTAAAATCATGTTGAAAATGATTCAGCCACTTTTTCGAGAGGAACTGACTTTCCAAAGAAAATTTTCACGAATTTGAGCTCAGATTGAAGCCCTCACAAAATTTTAAATTCACGAAATCATGCTTTAATCTTTTTTTCCATATCAAAATACCAGCACAGAAACAATTATTTTTGACTGTCTTGCATTGTTTTCAAACTGTTCAAAAATTAGACTCTTGCTCGATTTTTATCAAATTCGGACTTCAAAATAAATTTATGGCAAGCCGAAGTCAGCTCAGTGTTTTTTTATTTAGCAGGAATTTCGTGAAGAGGTTGTTTGTGACATTTTTCCAAAATTCAATACTTTTAAAACCTATTATAAACACCCTCAAGATTAATTTTTGGGAATTTTTTTTGTTCAAGATACTTGCCAGTTGGATGAAGTATACTGCATACGATAGAACGAGAGAAGTCGGTTTAGACTTTATATGAATCACAAATTTCCAATTCGAGCTATTTTTTGTTTTGTTTCCCGGATAGGAAAAAAATCAGGTCAAACGTTTATTACAATCTCGAAAACATTGCGAAGACTCAACATGTTTAAATAATTTTCTTAGAAAATAAACTAAATTCGGTTGAATTAGAAGGTTCTATGATATTGAAAATCGATATGGGTAAAAAATATACCATAGAACATAGTTCCTGGTTCTACGTAGATCTAGATTTCTACCTACATTACATCCCGATTTCATTAAAATTGATCATTTTAGGATTCCATTGCCCTCGAAGCGCTTACAAAAACTATCTTCGCAGAAAGTCTGACTCTGATTTTGAAACGCCATTCAAATCGGAAGGGGCACGTTGCCTGCTCGTCATCGGTTTATTAAACGTTGCATTTCTCTCTTTCTCGGGTAGCAGGCCACTAGTTTCCCTCTTTTGTCCGCGCACCCTGTTCATATAAAATATGCGTAGGCAGGGAAAGGTTAGCAGGCAGCCCATGCCAATTGGCCATACGCGCAGAGAACAATTACAATATCTGCGCGATTGACTTCTCTTTGCGGGTTGAGGAATGCCATACGATGTCTGACCAAGATTACAATTCATTCAGTACATTTGCAAGAAATGCCGATTTTTTCAAACATCAAATACTTATATTCAAGAAATGAGAAAACTTTGGAATTATATCTTTGTTGATTGTCAGTTGACCTTACTCATTCAGTGAGATTTGCCAGTCGCACTGTAAAATAGTCGGAGTGCAGAGAGTATATATTCAAACACTTCAAATTTCATACTTTTTGTTTCATAAATCATTTCAACAGCGACCATTTCTCAGATATACTGAACGAGAGCGGAGCGTTAACTTTTCTGTTAACAGATTTTGGTACAAACCAAACTAAATAAAGTAAATCTGAAAGTTTTGAAATGTTTGGGTTTCAAGCGGTACATCGCTGGATAAACACGAAATGGAAAATGTCTCAGAAAAAATTTTCAGAGAAAAAGTAAAATTTTCGGGAATGCGATTTCACGAAAAAGGGTCTACTGCATTTCTTGTTTTATGTGGCAATATTTCACGCACACATCTAATCGAGATCAGAAAGAAAATGGTCAAAAAGGAGGTGCGTTTGTAGAAAGAGAAAGAGGGAAGGGACCATGGTTACTTTTCTTGTCATTGCGCGATCAATAACTATGCTTTGTAGTCTTTTTTCTACTTGGTTTCTCTTCAGTTTAAGCTGCCGATTTTCATAGTTCTATGACATTTTTTTCAATCATTTCGTATAAATTTAAATTATTGCGATTTTCAGGATGTTTTCGAGCCACGCCAGAGCACAGTCCTTGTGTCCAGATGAAAAGAACCAATACGATTTGATGAAATTGGCTGAAGAGAATCGAAATCAAAACAAACCAAAGATCCATATAAAGAAAAGTTTGAAATTATTACAGTTTTTTTAAATGTTTTCACACTTTTCTTCAGAAATTGGAAAGCAGGACGTTTCCGAAAGCACTGGAAAGAAACGAGCGAAACGTTTTACTAAGAAAAAGAAGACAAAGTTTTGCATTGGATGAAAATGAAGCCAAAAGGATTCACGAAAATTTTCAAGTCGGGGTATGTTGGAAAATCGGGAAAATTAAGGGACTTGAAAAATCTAGAAGCCAAAGATGTTCAAAAAATTTATTTTTCAGACGTCTAGTAAAATGTCGAGCCGAAAAATGCTCATTTTGATATGGGAATGGAAAAGATCTATTTTTAAAAAGTATTGACGAACAGCCACTTAAATTTTTCAACGGAGCAGAAACGATCTGTACGCATATATTGGATTTTTATTGAACCTTGTTAGTTTTATTTACAAATTACCATGACACATAATTTGGAGGGTACTACGATTCGAGGGGTGCAACGGGGTACAAAATCCACAATTCAGGGTTACAAAATTAGATTTCATTTAGGTTTTTTGTACACCCAAATGACTTTGTACCCTCACTACCTCAAAAGTTTTGCACCCTCCTATATATATGCAAATTACCATTGTTTTTTTTAATCCCCTGTTTGATTTATTGTAGTAAATCCTGTATTAAGAGGGCTTGCCCTTCTGCTGTTCCGAGAATTATTAATTGGGCGTCGATTACAAGGGCCCTCCTATTTCGTGAGCCGTTTTATTACAGTGACCCTCAAGTCAGAAGGGCCATTTTAATACAGGATTTACAAGGGAACCATAACACCTGGTCAGTTTGGATTTTGATGAAAATTCCAGGATATGTCAAGGATAGCCTATCTGGACATCCCTGAAAATTTTAGAACACGCTCGCTACTTTCAACCGAGATATTCCAGTTTTAGTACCAAAAACCGCGTTTTCAGTGCAAAAACCGCTACTTACAAAGACGATTTTTTCCGCTCCCGGGAGGTTCCAGGACATGAAATTTTTTGTGTTATACTTAAAATTGAATGAAGCTTCATATTCCAGGCATTAAAAAACATTTTTTTTTTGTTGAAAAAGTTTGAGAATTTTGTCCACCACTAGCTTGGGTAGCTGATTTTATCGAACTTTTGTCAGTTTGGAAAATTTCTTTGAAAATGTAGTGATGATGGTTTGCAAATATTATTATACAACTAATAGATAATATATTTCTTGATTGCACGTGTTTATTATTTATTCATGGCCCGTATGGGGCCAAGACAACGCTTCAAAACTATTACCGCACAGGGACTGTGGATTTCGAAAAATTTTGGAATTTTTTGAAAAAAAATTTTTCTAAAATTTCTCTCTAATCTTTTGAATCTGTAAAAACTTTAAAAATATATCAGAACAATTCTAAAATGTCGCAAAATAAGGGACCAGAAGAAGAAAAAAAGAATAAAACATCCAGCGGGTCCGAACCCGCAGCCTTGTGCCTACTGGCGCACACCACATCCCCAACACCACGCCGCCAACATGTTCCATTGAGTCGCAAAGCGGTTAAATGTGAGGCCGTTTTTAAACACCTCTAGTAGGGATTTCGGGGATGGATAGCGTGGTAAAGCATGTAAATCGAAGGATTTCAGTTCTAAAACTTTGCATTGAAATATCTCGGCTGAAAATGGCGAGCGTGTTCCAAAATTTTCAGGGATGTCTAGATAGGCTATCCATGACATATCCTGAAAATTTTCATCAAATCCCAAATTGACGAGGTGTTCTGGTTCCCTTGTTTGGAATTTTTGCCTTGATTTTTTCCCTTTATTGAATACATTACGGAATATGGTGAATGTTTTTAATAATGATATGAAAATCGTCCTTTTTTATAGTTTCAAAAAAGTTTCAAAAAAGTTTAGAACAATACGAAAAATTCTAATTTTGAAACGAGATAATGTTCTAATGATATAAGTAGCTAGAAACTTGTACAAAGGTTGTTTGAAACATTCCGAACATGATTTTTTAGCAATTTTGCCACAAGATCTTCAAATAACGCTGTCTTGTCAGATTCTGTAACTTCCTTATTGTGCAGAAATTGAAAATTGTAAGATTGTGTATTTTACACCCTGATGTCTCAAGAAAAACTAGGCATGAATTCATTTATTGTGCTTGGAAAAATTAATTTAACTGGAAAAGATGAAAGAACCACAATGAAAAATTTCGAATCATTACGACTACCCTATAGACGAGCATTCGAAACGGAAGTAAAGAAATTGAAAGAAATATATTTCAAATTCTAATGCGACGAGTTTAATGAAGAGTTGAGAGTTCCTTTTTTCGAATCACCAAGGCTGGTTCCGTCGCCGTCGTCTGAACAGTAATTCGAATGAAAAAAGATGGAGAAAAAATCAACCTTCAATGAACAAAGACCGATCGATGACTTGAACTACCTCCTTGAATACAGTATCCGGATCAGCGTCTCCATCCACCTTAATTTTTAAATTAGATATATGAAAGAATTTAATGTTAGAAAATTAAATGAGTGGTACAAGTTTTCAAGATGCGTGTGTTAAGAGAGCGCTCATGCAACATTTCAGTAAACATTGAATTTCTTGCAAAATCATGCGAGAATCTAAATCTGCCGCAGGAAAAAGTTGAATTTAGATTATGAATAGTACAAAGAAGTGTGCATACCGTCACATGCGTATGTCTCACCACTCGCAATTTGCCCTTGTCATCCAGCGTTTTGAGCATTGGGAGCGTGTTCTTTTTGAAATACTCCATTCTTGCACGAACCGCTTCTGGGTCATCATCTGGAAGAAATTAGAGATATCTTGTGAAAATTGGATTTCTTCGGAATCAAAACTGTCAAAAAACAAATCAAAAATTGTCGGGAGCTTGGTATGGTCATTTTCATTCAAAATTTTTCTAACGTGTTGATTTCGAAAACAAGATTTTCGTACAATATATGACTACCTTCAAACTTGTATTAATAGTGCCCATTTGATAGAAGGGCACCTCAAATAGAAAGGCCCTCCGAGAGAGGTTTGTAAAAATAAAAGGGCCAATGTGATAGAAAGGCTTCCGTCGTAATAGGAGCGCTCTATGTAAAAATTATCCCCTTCAAAATGTGTCTTGAATGTAAAAATTTCCGTACATTTTCAATGAAAACATTCCGAAATTCCACAATTTAATAAAAATTTGCTTAAAGACTATTTTTTGCTTAAAGACTATTTTTTGCTTAAAGACTATTTAAATAAAAAACTTGCTCAGTTTTGTTGAAATCGGTAGATTTTAATGAACTTTGAACGTAAATTTGTCGAATTTTCAATGAAAAATTTTAGGGAGAATGACCGGAAAAATGGAAGGGCCCCCTCTAATCGAAGAACCCATGAAATAGAAAGGCCCACGTAGGTACCTTGGAAAAATAGAAGGGCCGGCCCTTCTAATACATGTTTTACGGTTATATGACTAACATACGGTAGTTTCAAAATAACTGTTGCAGTCTAGCCATGATTATATTTTACTGGAATCGTGAAAATCAGATATACCTGATCGTTTGTTCTCTTGGCCTCTACGGTTGATGACTTCAACGCAAAATTGTTCAGTGCAGTCAATGAGGATGGCCAAATCAGTTCGTTGAAGCTGAAATATAAATTGGTTTTGTCTGAATATTTATGTTTGTCAGATAATCAGTTGAAAGTGCAACATGGTCTATGGATGAAATTCTCATCTAATCGTTTGACTATGTTTTTTGAATGCGAAATTCAATGACAACTGAAATGTACAGTACCGGTTGATAAAATATACAAAAACGTACTTTTTAGTCAATTTTCGGCTATTTTGATCATTTTCAGGAGTTTGGAGCTCGGCTGTCAAGTGTTCGATCACTTTGAAAAATTTGGTGGGTATGACAGACCTAGACGGAAAATTTTGCATTGCTAGAACTTTTTGAAATTTCCTAGTTTTTCGGATATCAGCAGTTTTTTGAAAGAACTCTTTTTCACGTTTTCAGCGTACTTGCAAAATTAGGGCCCGGCGGGCCCGGCGGGCCCAGGTTCTCCAAATTCGAAACATTTTTTTTTAATTTCAGACCTTTTTTTTCAAACTTTTTTGCATACTGGTAACGGGCCGGGCCGGGCTTTTTTCCGAATTTCGGAGGCCCGGCGGGCCTGTCATTGCATAAGTTTTGAAAATTTCAAAAAACACATAAGGGGGCCCTTATGTGATTTTTTTTCGATCAAAAACATTTTTTTCGATCTTTTTAGAGAAAACAGACAAACAATCCAAAATAACAAAAAAAATGGAGAAAATTATATTGAGAGCTCAACATTTGGCTCAAAAATACATAATTTTTGATACCGGGCCTTCCGGGCCGGGCCCGGGCCTTGAAAATTTCCTCAGGCCCGGAATTTTACAAGTATGCTTTTTTGTGAAAAAAACAATTTTTTATGAACACTCTTACTTTGAAAATTTTTTACTTGGCAGAAAAATTGTCCATTTTTTTATACTTGTCATCCGGGTCTTTGGCAGACCTTCGCGGGCCCTTTAAAGAAATTCGCCTCTGTTTGGCCCGTTTTAGTACTTGAAACATGCGAACAAACGCTGTTTTCCAAAATTTACCAAATGTCTGAAAAACTACGATTTTTCAAAAAATTGTGTAAATTTAAAGTTTTCAATCTAGGTTTGTTTTACACCCTCTAAAATTTTTAAAACTGATCGGAATCTTGTCAGCCGAGCCCCAGACTCCTGAAAATGGTCAAAATGCTCAAAAAAACACTCAATGAGATATACAAAAATATATTTTAATAAAAACACGGTCAAAAATATGACTTTCAGAAATCGGCAGATCGCTAAAAACTATTTAAAAAATCTTCATAAATTGTGTGAATGCAAAATTCTCATTTGAAATCTGTTATACACTTTCGAAAGTGTTCAAAAAAAATTGGAAACTAGACAATTTAGCTTCAAATTCATGACAATTATTCAAATGGCTCAAATTAATTGAAAAATATGTTTTTGTGTATCTCATTGACCTATACTTCGTATTCGGTACTGTGAATAATTTTTCAAATATAAAAAATCAACACTGAAATACCGCATGTTCTAAATCCACAAGCTGATCCGGTGACTTTGGATATCCTTCAATCACATAACCCCAGTTGGATGACCCTCTTGAATGGAGCTCTTCGTACAACACTTGTCGGCAGAGTTTCTAAAGAGTTCACAATTTCTTTCAAAAGATCGCTAGGAAAGTTACCGTAGGAATGGCATCTCCTTTGTTCATCTTCGTTGCCACCTTCTCCCACATTTCATCATTTTTCTCGTTGTTGATTTTCTTCCTCAAGATTTCACCCATTGAGAGCATAGTGAAACCATCATATTTCTGAGCAATCCGTCGACTGATATCATTCTTTTGCGAGCCAGGAGCACCTAAACAAATTTTTTATATAATTTTCCCCTGAAATAAGCTATAGTACCCAATACTAAAATGACAGGAGCGTTATTTGGAAGACCAACTGGCTCTCCCAATTCGGCGACAGAAGCAGTATCCAATGTGCCATTTGAGCTATGATTTTTTGCAGACTCTCCAGTTGGAGTTCGATCTGAAACTTTCTCTTTTTTTGGATTTTTTGGCGCATTTTTTGGTCAAGAGCACACTCATGCAAATTGAGGATTCTAAAAAAATCTGGTCACTCGATTATACCATTCTCTCGCGGTAGATTCAATTGAGGTACTGTAATAGTTGGAGCAGCGCGTCTGTCTAAATGTGGTTAGTTTTTTAAAATCTAATTTTGGCGGAAGGTTCACACTATTTTCTATTTCCAAACCTGGTGTGGCAGTGATTTCTTTCCTTGCCGACTCTCTTGATCTGGCAGTGGAAGTGGCTCTACCTAAAAAACACATAGGTTAGGCTCTTTTCACCGGAAGTCAGCTCTTCTCACTCTCGTCGGGCGTCTGAACAGCAGGTGTGTCAGGGGCATGTGGCTCTACGTCTCCGTTTGGCGCACCCGACCCGGATGAGTGTGGAGGTGGTTGTGCAACAGACCGTGGTTCTCGAATCGCTGACGTCGACAAGTCCTGAAAGTCGGAAGTTGTTTGATGTTTCGGTACTCCGGGTCATGAAATTTGTGCTCACCAGAAAAAGTGTAAACTAGAATAAAATTAAAATACTGTAAAGGCTCTAATAGAAGTGTACCATATACTTGCACGTTAGGCTCAAGTATCTCGGTTCCTTCCAAAAATATATAAAATGTATCAGCTGATGAATTGCTTTTCACAAAATCAGTCAAATTTTATCAATAGCAAAAATTTATTTTTTGAAGAAATATATTCTGAAGAAACTGAGATGATTGAGCTCAAAGTTTACGCATAGAATAAATTTATAGTAGAGTAATAACCATAGTAAACTTGGAATTTTTACAAAATCAAGAAATTTATTCGGATACTGTTTCCGGCAACAACGCCAAATCAGTATTGTCGTTCGAAATCAAAAATTAAAGGAGCAGCCCAGTCGATAGGGAACAAGCTCATACGCTTTGTCTGGTTAGTAAAATTACACATCACGGATTTTTGTTAATTTTTGGTTTTTTTTTCGAATGTCGACCTGAATGTTTCGAAAGCTTATTTCCCAGTTTGGAATTTGACACCATTGTGTTTTTCATACGTGTTGTATCTTGAAAACACCAAATCGCAAAATAATTTATCAAAATTTGAGAATCTACAAATTTTCGCGACGTCAAAAAACTTAAAAATTACAAAAATCACTCATGTATGAGTAAAACTCAAATTAATTCGCTGGAAGTGTCTGCGTTGGACGTTCTTGCTTTTTCAATCTCCAATTAGAGAAACTCATATGATTTGAAGATCAGACTGGTGAGCAAAAATTGTTTGAAAGAATTCTCCATTTTGAGCCAAGTATTTTAAGCCAAGGGGGAAATACGGAAATTCCTAATTGTGTGATCATAAAACACTTGATATCATTAACCCTAATCTATCTGAAGAGTCCATTATGTCTTTTAAAAAACTGATTCCGAAAACTGGATTCTGAAAACTGGTACAGAAAACCCGGATTTTCAAATTTTCGGATTTATCGGTGATTTTATCGTCACAGATGTCACTTTAATTCAAAAAATTTATCGCGAATTCAGTGGAAAATGAAATAATGTGTCAACTGATAAACTGTTTGTGATGTTATAATAAACAATTCATCTGTTGACAACTTGTTTATACCGTTGAGAGGAACTGAGATAAATAAGATCAAAGTTGATAGTTTGGGACGGCTTCTAAAAGACAAAAGTTTCCACTTACATGATTGATGCTCTCGTGGTTGACCACATTTGTGTCCAGCGACATATTGGCCAGTTCTGACTCTGCCATAATTGGGGACGGCACAACTGGCTCAGCAGCCTGAAGTCATAGATAAACACAGAGCGCCTTCCATTCAAGATACCTGGGGTGAAATGAGGTGACTTCTGTCGGCACCCATCGGCGGAAGAGCCGCCAGTACTGGAACTCCGGTCTCCATAGCTTTGAGCACCAATCCCCTCATTTTCTCGTAAATCACTTGATCGTCTTTCTCACCCGGAATCTGAACTTGAAAGTTACAAATAGGGTGAAATAGTGCAGGTTTACCAAGTGAAGCAACTTCTGATCATCAAAGTACTTTGCGGACGGCAGCGTTTTCTGCTTGAATTCCTTTATCTTCTGATCAATAATTTCCATGCCAAGCCCCCGCCTTTCCATATGATCACGAAGTGTTCGCTCGTCATAGTCTAGTATCAATGCCATGTTAACAGACTTCACCTGGAAGAATTTTTTGCAAATTGGAAAAAACCCAGAGATCAAATTACCTGTCTCTCAAAATCTTCCACTTGTCGTGCTTCTCTTGGATAACCCTCCAGGAAGAAACCAAGCGCATCTGGGAATCGTCCCATCTCTGCTTTCAGAAGATTCAATGCCAACTCATTTGGAATCAGCTCACCTAAAAAAGAGAAAAACTAGGAATTTTCTGAAAAACTAGGAACTTTAAGTAAAAAATGGCGTACCTCTCATATAAAGATCGTTAGCATCCTTCCATTCCTGATACTTATCTTTATACTTTCCGAGTGCCGTTCGAATGACATCCGGCATGCATATGTGCACCAAACCGCTGTCAGCCAATGAGTCGGCTACACGGGCAGCATGCCTGGTTTTTCCACCACCGGGACCTCCTGAAAAATGGGAATAGGCATGAAAAGGGATATTGATAGTACCCATGAAAAGGATTATTGGGACATCAGGGATCTTGGCAACTTCAGCAGCACGTGTGACAGATGGGACACGATGGATAACCTGGAAAAAATTTAAAATGTGTACAGGACCGGGCAATAAGATATATAAAAACATAATTTACAGTTGATTTTTGGCTATTTTGACAATTTTCAGGAGTCTGGAGTTCGGCTGTCACGTTTTGGATCACTTTGAAAATTTTGGAGGATGTAGAATAGATCTAGATTAAAAACTTTAAATTTACACGATTTTTTGGAAAATCGTAGTTTTTCAGATATTTGTTAAATTTTGGAAAACAGCGTTTGCTCGCATGTTTCAAGGGCAAATTGCTGAAAAACTAGGAATTTTCAGAAAATTCTGTGAATGCAACGTTTTTGATCTAGGTCTGTTTCACATCCTCCAAAGTTTTTTAAGGAATCGGAAACTTGACAGACCAAGCTCCAACCTCCTGAAAATGGTCATAATGGCCAAAAATCAACTGAAAAATGTTTTTGTTGCATATTTTTTCAAACTGGTATTGCATGTACTTTTGAGAAGAAAAATGTGTTTGCCATTTACCACATTTTCAACCACTCTGAGTTCGAAAACTTCTGAAATAACTTACCATGTCTTCCTCTGAATGCACCCTCGGCTCTGGAGTTCGATGCTCAACTGTGTTGGTTCTAGACGGTTCTCTTGAGATGATGTCGCTGACTTCTTCTCTGAATTTTCCAAAAAATTGAAAAACAAAATTTCCAATTTTCAGTTCAGCAAGGTTTTTTGCAAGAAAATCAAGACTGATTGAAAAAAAAGCTGACAGCTATGATTCATATACGGCATTCTAAGAAAACTCAGCATACGACTCACCCCTGCTCCTCTATGGCGTTAGTTATTACTTCGGCTTGAGTAGTTTCAGCTGTTGCCGGTCGTGGTTCTTGACTTTTTGGCGTCCGTTTCTTGGGTACAGGTGGTGTGGGTTTTTCGTCAAGATATGGAGAACCAGGTGGATAGTTTTTTGTGGTGGTTCCTGAACAGTTCGAAATATAAAAAAAATAGAACAACAAACTAAAAAAAATACGTAGTGAATGCGAAGCACACACAAAAAAGGTGAACCTAGTGGGAAAATAACCTGGCGACGACGACTAGCAAGAAAAAGAGGGATAATTGCGTAGACGTAAGAGGTCCCGAGCGCTTTTTATGGACGAGAGCACGTAGCGGAGTGTAGAGAAGAGAGCCCAACTATGGGTGTTGTGCTCTTTTCACTGCTTTTCGTGTTTTTGTGTTCTTTTTTCAAAGTTATTCATTCTGACTTTCTAAGTATGTACCAAGAGAATTCAAAATGTTACGTTAAACTTCCAATTGTCATAAATTATTCGAAAAAGTACCTAGAAGTTTGAAAATAATTCATGAGAGAATTTTAGAGAATAAAAAACGTATTCAGCTCAAAACAGATGAATTCAGAATATCATAAGAATTATGTAAGATAAATTCTAAAAACAATGCTTTCTCAATAACAAAAACAACTCAATCTCACCTGCTTCGGGTCCCAGGAACATGTCCCAACGCATTTCGATGCCAGGTGTTGTGCGTATCTTTACTATGCAGTCCTCGAGAAATTTTACAGCGTCATCGGGTCTTGTGTAGATTAGGCCAGTCATCAGGCCCTGTAAAATCATTGACATATCGTGAACTGATTGAATAAACAATATCTGCACTTCGAGATCAATTATATTGATTTCCATAGGAGATGTTGAAATGTGGTCAACTGGTAAAATGTTTGCCACAATATTACCGAAATGTTGATAGTTTACAGATTTTTGTTATCCTTTATAGAAATTTAGATGATTGAGTTCAGAATGCAATTATAGGTTGGTGTCTAATTTGAACGCAGTAAACATTTAATGATAGTGGTTTCAAATTAATTAATGAAAAAGTTCAACCATAAATTCAACTCTACGTCTTTCCAGAAACAAATCTTTGACTCATACTTCCATTTTCTGAATTACGGGGAGATCTATTGAATGTGTAAAATCGTCTACCGTGAACACTCTTATAGAATGCCCCCCAAAGCATCAATTTTGAGCCCATACATCCCATTTCCTGTGAGAAATATCAAAAAGTGGCCAACCAACAAAATGTTTATTATAATCTCAAAAATTTTTTGTCAGTTGAACACTTTCTTATATCTTTCACAGGAACTGAGATAATGCGCCTAAAAGTTGACGGTTTGAGAGGCATTCTATCAGAGTGCCTAAGGCATCTGATTTGGATCAGTGTTTATAAAAAAAATTTTCTATGATGCCTCCTAATTTCAAGTTTTGATATTTTAGATAAAAATGTAAACCTTATTTTAGATATTCAATTTTAGAAAATTTCGTTTTGTAAACAGAATCAAAAAGAGATAAATTCAAACATTATTGTGATTTTATTGTGAATGCAATAGATTCCCTCCAAACAGTCAACTTTGAACCCATACATCTCATCCCCTGTGAGAAATATCAAAAAGTGATCAACCAACCAAATGTTTATTATAAACTGTAAAATATTCGGTCAGTTGATCACTTTCTTATATGTTTTACATGAACCGAAATAAACCGGCTGAAAGAACCAAATTACTCTGTAGACACATTGTGGCGAAACTACCATATAACATTACTGCTCCATCATACTCACTCTTCAGTTGCTTAGAAATGTTGTAACATTTTTGTCTGAATTTTTGGGTTTTGCATATTATTTAAAATTCGTGGAAGTATAATTGTAAAACCACACTCTCTAAAAACTTCACCGGGATAGCTTACGCGGCATCCCTAGTATTTTGCTCACGAGTTCAAGTTCTCAAACGACTTCCAGTGGTAAAGATACATTGTAACTTTTTGAAATCTTTTAAGCAGTTTATGATTAATCACAAGTGGTAGGAATATTTTCTCGGTTGATGCTACTAAGGCATAAAGGTAAGTTAAAACTAACCTCGAAAAGCTGCGGTATTTTTTTCTGCTGCAAATACTGCCTAGCAGCCGAGGGTTTGTGCATGGAGTCGTGGTCCCCGAACGCACGCTTTGGTGGCACGTGTCCCTTCACTTTGACAGCTTATCGAACAGTCCGGGCTGTTCTTGGAACCTGCAAAATTGTAAAATAAATAAATTTTATGTAAAGAAGCAACACTGATGATGCAAGCGGGGAATTTTTCTAATCACAAGACGACTACGACACACATCCTGAGCCCCCGGTCTCCTTTCAAAAATCCGTAATGCATGCGAGATGGAGAAAGATACAAATAGAATGGAAGGGGGATTTAGAAGAAGTGAGTGTGTTGGTTAATAACATCTTGGCTTCCTGTCATCATCCCCGCGTTTATCTTTTCCTCCTATAGCTTATCTACTAGTCTATGCACTACTAAATACTTGATGCATAACTTCTTCGACGACGAAGCCTCCAAGTTTTGCTCCATCACATGGCAACTACCTTCCCTTTCCCCGTCTCACAGCCCCCGCTACTCACCGCCCGACATGGAGATTATAATTTGTTAGCGGAATGTGGAACTGCCAAAACGAGTGAAAACGAGCATAGCAAAAAATTTGATATTTTGAGGGTTTGTGTTGAAAGAGAGGTGTGAGAAAAGGTTGCCGAGGTAACCAAGGGAAGCAAAAAGAGAAAAACGCTAAAAAATTGAAAAATAGGATTTCAACATTCCTACTCATCTCTTTGTATCAATTGTTTTATTTTTCCCCCTTTTCTAAGGATTACAAAAACCAAAAAAAGGTTAAAAGTGAGAACAATAGCTGTACGATTGTGTAAGAAATGCGGTACGACAAAACGAATAACAACGGATTAGAAAGAAGTGATTGTAGTTTTCAAGTCGCTTTCAAGTCTCTTTCAGATGAAGAAGCAATCAGCAGGGTTTTAATCAGTAACCTGGGCGTGAGTCATCTATGAAACATTATTATACTTAAAAACGTTCTGAAATTCTTTCGAAGTTAGTAAGCCCCGTTTCTCAAAAAAAAGAAAAACAAAGAAAAACAACACTTAACCAAGCATAAAATCATTATGACATGCTTCTGATCAAATTTCATGATAAAATCTTGTGACCAAAAATCAACACTTACGCTTCTTAGCATCACGAGCACCAACAACCTGTCTTATACATAAATGCTTGTTCTGGAGTTGAAACGGCAGCGCGTCAATCGGATATTCGATTAGGATGTACGCTTGGATACCTTCACAGATAGAGCTATAGTGGTTCTGTTTGCAAGTTAAGATGTTTATACTTGAAAAAAAGTGTGATTAATTCCAGAGTCAGAAGGTGAAAATGTGTTCTGACACCAGCGAATTAAATTCAGAATATTTTGAGACTAGTAATTGGGAAGAAAGAATCGTTAATCTGGTGAAACAAATTCAAACTTTTTTTTTCAATTTTCAGTTTTTTCCTGGATTTACAAATGTATAAAAAATAACAAAAATCTATAGTGCGGTTACAAGACACTTGGAGCTGTGGACGAGCAACTCCGGTGATCGTAACCAAAGATCCCACAACAACAACTACGAAAACATTTTAATATTTTGATTTTAAAAAATTTTTTTCTCGATTTTCGTGCGTGTCCAGTCAATCTATTACTGTCCAAAAATTTTCAATTTTTTATCAATTTCATCAACTTTAAAAACATTTTTTTGCAATTTTTCTGTGAGAAAATAGCAAAAAACAAAAAGTAAAAGAGAACAAGAAAAAAATCCTGAAAAATGAAATGTTTTGAAAAGTCATTGCGGGATCTTCGGCCACGGTCCCCGGCGTTTCTCATCCACGCCTCCAATTTCTTTGTATCTGTCTAATAGTGAAATTATAATATTTCAGTTTAATCTGCAGAATCTGCACCAAACAAAATGAAATCATTCTGAAATAAAAACAATTTCCGGTGGAAACTTTTCGTGGTGACACATTGATCTAGATCAAAAGATCTACCCAATTCAAGAATTACTGAATTGTTTTGCAATCCTATCTGCCTGGCAAAACAATTTTGACCATCTTTTATGAACCACACAATATTATTTCCTTTTTTCTCTGGAACATTCCTGTCGGATCATTGAAATTTCACTTATCCGCCGACGTCTTGAGATGGGAGGACATTCTGAGAAATTTCTTGAAATTTCGTTAATATTTGCCTCTCGCGGAGTCGAATTTGTGGACCCATCATTGTGAGGTACCGCGCCGCTAGCAGTTAAGCTACGGTGGCGCAAGCTGAGACAGCCGAGTGACTGAATATGAAAAATCACCACGGCACTAAAATTGTACACTGTCACGAGAATGCATCCCGTAACTGCAAGAAAAAACTCCAAAAAATCTCCTGCCTCCGATCTTGGAAACACTGAAGTTTTCGAAATTTGTCTCCTTGTCTTTCAAAATAATGAATGTTCCAGTTTATTTGACATTTTATATTCAGCAAGAAATAACCACAAGAAAAAAGTATGCCAGAAGAGAAGAAGTTTGGGAGGAGTTGGAAAATAAATAGGTTTTTGGATATATTTTGCCACACGCTGATGCAATAGAAATTAATAGAGAGAATACTATCAGCAGCAAAAGAAAAGTCACAAAGTGGCGATATTCAGATAAGACAGACAGAGAGACAGACGAGTTTGGAAAGAAACGATTAGAATAGAACGATCCCAGTAGTTAATGACAATGTTTCACGGAAAATATCGGATGAGTGAATTAGGAGATTGGTTTGGCTTCCTCGGCGACTGGAGTTCCGCTTTGGCTTGGCGCACGAGCAGCTCCTGCCAAGTGATCGATCGATGTGGAGGCAGCCATTTTAGCCTGCAATTTTAGATTTTTGTTAAGAAAATTCTAGAAATCGTCACTTGCCGAGTTGTAAGCAGTTCCGAGTTTCGACTCGAACGACTTGAAGAGCGACGAGTTTCTCATGTCGTTCCACTTCTCCTTGACGGTGTCCGAAGTAGCGGCCGCGACCTCAGCAGTCTTTTGGAATCTGAAAAAAGGGGTGGGTTAGGAAGATTTTGAATTGCTTTGACGTGGTGTTCTGGTAGAGCATTTTCAATACGAACTTTTTTTTCTTAAAAATTAGGATCAGAGCATATTGAAGCCTACAGAAACATAACAGCAACCTATTTCAACTATAGCTCAAATATATACAGCTTTCAAAGTAAATTTCTTGGTGAAATTTCTTGGAAAACGCTGTCCAGAGCTTTCTAGACTTCCGAACACACCCTATTACGGCATCAGACTATTTTTACTTCGAGACCGGTCGTAAATCGACATGAATTTTTGTTTTTAACAGTAAAAGTAATACTGTAGATTGGTGTGTCTGGCAATTTGAAAAACATTGGCAGCTTTGGATACTGCTTCCAGGAAATTTCTTTAAGAGATTTCCCCATGAAATTCATTTTAAATGCCGCAATAGCAAGACCATGTTGTCCTGGCCATCTAGTCCTTCAAAAACCCGGCCAGCATGTTTTTACAGTAGCCGATGATTTTTTTTTCTAATCCCCCAGAGATTAGCCAATTGGTTAGAAACCACAAGACTGTATAATGAATCGGCTACTCAAGCCAAGGCTGTCAAAGCCAGGGCCGCGGCTTTTTAGTTCGGTTACTTCTGGGATTCTGCTAGGATTAGACGGCCTAGAGGTCCTAGAAGGTCCATTGTGACAGAGCTTAGTTCTGAGAAGATCGACGGTAACCGATCCACGGCACAGCCCACAGCCGGCTTAGCACTGTCATAACACGCAGTTATGATTTTTGAGTAGGCCCCCAGCCATTTTTATCAATCCCAAACTGAAAACTCACGCTTCAGTCTCGGTGACTGTCTTCAAACTGCGGTTCAAGTCTTGTGAGAGCTCGGTGAGTGGCGTGAGTCCAAGCTTACGCTTGAGATCCGCAGCATGCTTCTGTCTAGCCGACAGCACCTGCTTCAGTGTTCCGATCTCCTCCTCGGTCTGAAAAAAAGATTAGATTTATCAATTTTTGTTTCAATTGAATAAACGACCTTCTCAAGTTCTGTGCGAAGCAAATCCTTTTCGGCTTGAGTGAGCTCAATTTCTGAAAGACCCAATATTAGAATAATTTTAAATTTAAAAGTGGCATCTAATCTTACTCTTGTTAGAGTTCTCACTACGTGGCGGGTTAGGCTCAACGACGGTCGGCTGCTCAATGACAACAGCGTCCTCGTCCGAATCACTCCCTTGCAACTCTTTCGCAAATTTCTCAAGATCCTCTTTTTTCTCATTAGTTTTCTTGTTTCCCTTTGGCATTTTGTCTAGAAGAATGATTCACTACTAGATTTTTTCAGAGACAATGAAACGGAAACAAACGAAAAATAATACGACTACGCTGGAAGAACAAAACAATAAAAGGAAATCGGTCTGAGTCACTAATCAAACACCTATAAAATTTTGAAATTCTGGAAATATTGGGAAATTTGTGTTCTAGGCATAACGAAAGAAAGAGAAGTAGAAGAAATAAGAATACAACACACCATTGTGGTCATAACCAAAACCGTACAGAAGGTAAGAGCGGTTAGAGAGTGTGGAGAGACGGAAAACACTCACTAACACTCACACACACACACCGCCGATATACGTGTATGGTTGGGCAGGACGCTCTCAAATAAACGACCGATCAATATCTGCCTCCTCCTTCTCATTGCTGTTCCCTATTCAATTCGCATTCTCTCGCTGTTACACATTGTGTCTAGTCCACTTTGCCCCCCCATCGGACACACTGCCCACTAGTCAAATCTTATTAGTTCATCTCTCAATAGTTTCTTTGGGTAGTAGCTTCGAGGAATTAAAAATGGCCATGAGATGCTTCTTTTTGATGGATGAGCAGTTTTATGATGGAGCCACAAAGAAACAGGATGGGAAACCAAAACGGTACTATAGACCTTTAACAGAAAGCTACTACTTCTAGAAAACTCACAAAACCTTCAAGAACCTACCCGATTGTTGATAAGCATCGGTCATTTTTTCGGTCGAGTGAAGAAGATTTGAAAGGGTTTTTGTTTCTGTAACTTGGAATAAAATGAAGGAGTTAGACGAAGAAGAAGACGCCGAACATAAAAGAGAATGAAGAAAAAAAAATGAATGAGAGAAGATAGATAGCAAAGGTAGCATGTTTTTTGTTGTTTCCTTGTGAGATAAGATAGGTAGCAGGTAGAGAAGAAGAAACAAAAGGCATCGAAGAGGTTTTGCAAAAAAAAAGAAAATCTAATCTTAAAAGAGTTAGAGGGGAGAAAGGGTTGATTAAAAATGGACATGGGCAGCTGATTAATTTTTCTGGGCACAACTTGGGAAAAAGCGATTACGAAACAAAAAAAAAAGAAACGTCATTTTAGCAGTGGCCGCAAAAACACACACAAATTCATTCACCAACTACAAACAATGTGTCAACAGAAGGAGAGAGACAGTTCGAAGGGCGAGAATAGAAAGTCAACGGGTCATATGACGACAGGCCACCCGGGAGGCCAACGGGACCTCCCAACGGGATCAATAATTTGTGCCTTCTCTCCCGCACCCCACAACCACTACATGTTCTTCTTTCCTTCCTTCCGTCGTCGTGCCCTTGGAGAGTGGCATTTCTGTCGTTGTCTGTGCATTAGAAGTAGTAGTCGTCTTCGGCCCCTTTGCCCCGGGTTGAGGAGCAGCCCGAAAATGGATGACATGCCAAAGCATGTAGAAAAGTAGGGGATGTGGAGGCGGGAGAGGAGAGGAACATCATCAAAATAAACGGAGAAGGATGGGAGAAAAGAAGAATAGCATCGGGATGAAGAGGACGCGGACATTTGCATCACTTGCATAAATTTTCCAAATCATGTGAAAAGTTAGGGCCGAAGAAAAAAAAAGAAAATTGAAGCTAGTTATCAGAAATTTTGTCTTGAATGGTTTGAGTTGTACGATTATTTTTCTTCTAGCAGCAAAAAAGAGCAATTGACGGCTCAAGAGGCTCTAGAATCCAATATGGCGTGGTAGGAAGGGGGCGGGTAGAAAAATCAAAACCAATCTCGAGATTTGTATTCTCCGGAAATTGGTTTTTTTATAACCAATGTGAGATGGAGAAGGAGGGAAATTGAATTTTCGATCTTACAAAATTTCATGGAGAATTTCCTTTTTTTTTCAAAAGAAATTTTACTCGGAATTCAAGGAAAATATGAAGGAGCAAAGTGTGTTGTTTTTCGCATTTAATCACTCTATACGTCTTCATGTGTCTGAAAAGATACAAATTTCTAGAAAACAGCCAAAACTAACAGAAAAGAAAAGAAAATATCTATATATTTCCATCAACTAGGATTACTACGAAAAAAGGAGAAATGGGTCTTAAGGGAGCAAATGTAACATTGAACAAAAAATAAATAGAAAAAATACGAACGTTTACAACCCATGACTGGCCGTCGCAGTTGCCAGCACATTTATGATTTGTGACGGAGGTTGCGGAAGCGAATGCATCAAATTTGACGACAGATACTGTTTTTGAAAAGTGATAAATGTTAATAAAATTGATTTTTAGAGAAAATACGTTTTTTAATGAAAATCGAATGAGAGGAAACTTATAAGAATTGAATTTTTAAATTGGACAATACCTTAAAGGTGGGGGGACAGGAGATTTTTCGTAGTTTTTTTGTAGCTAGAGTATGCATTCTACCGTCACGGTGTACAACGCTTAATGTCACTATGCGTACAGCTGTCGTCCTCGCCTTTATGCATGCAATCGGGCGTGCGCTTTCTCTTTGCCCGCGTGGCTCAGTCGCTAGCGGCGCCGCACCCTCAATCATCGCCCTCACAAGTTCAACTCCTCGAGAGGCATCTTTGAACGGAATTTCGAGAACATTATTTTTTTCATGTCCCCCCACCTTTAAAACTATCTTTTTGGAGAAATTTCGAAAGAATAATTGGCTGAATTTCAAAAAATTTTTCCTATTTTTCAGTAATTGAGAATTCAAGAAACAGGCTCCCAAACGTTTCGCCACTGGGTATTTCTCAACTGCGGCATTTCGCAACCATGGTAATACAGGCGAAATGATGAATTTCGGGCTGCAAAGTTGTTTTATGATTTTTGAGAATGTTTATTCTGATATAAGACATTTTAAAATTATAAGAATTCGAAATTTTGTTTTTCGAAATTTTTCTGGTTTTTAGTTTTGTTGATTCAAAAAAGTATATTCGGAAACTGTAAAATGATTTTCGAAACCTAAAATCTAATCATTTTTCGAAAAAATCACTCAATTCGCACAAATAATCGTTCAAATAAAAGTATATATCTGTTTTTCAGCACTTTATTCTACTCTTCAATAACAATGGATGATGTGTGAATACGTCGAAAAATAAACAAATGAAAAAACACATGCTTCAAATATTTTATTTCAAACAATTTCACAAAACAGATAAGCCTCTTAAATCTGACCCCTAGAAAATGATTCCGGATAAAAATTTTTTTTTGAAAATTTTCTATTGAAATTTAATTTCGGAATCAAAGTGACATTCAATTGACAGGTGAACAGTCGGAAGTGCTTCATCTTCGAGAGATGTAACTCTTCCTGGTGTTGGATTTAAAATGACGTGTGTGTTGTACAACGGAAAGCAAACGGGGATATGATGAGGGATTTGAGGGCTTTCTTTTTTTGGTGGGAGCTTCTCTTGCTTTTTTTCCGAAGAGGGGTTGAAAAAAAGAAAGAGAAGAGACCCATCAAATATTTATCCAAGCGTTTCTGGAAGTTGAATGACATGATGTAAGAGAAACTTTGAGATTCGCATTTTTTTGAAAAATAGTTGAGATTTAAAAAAGTTTAGAAGTTTGATGCAATCGGACAGAAAAACTGAAAAGAAGAATAAAAATCAAAAACTAAAATTCTACGTAAATATGTGAAATAAATTCAGTTTCGTTTCTCTCATGCGAAATGTAGAATTTCAAACAAGTGTAAAATATGTAGGGAAAGGGTTCCTATAATGTTAAACATTGAGCCAAATTATCTCGGTTCCGTCAAAATTTTCAAAAAGTGTTCAACGAAATGTTTATCATAACATGATCAACATTTTATTAGCTGACCTATTTTTGATATCTCTCACAGAAAAAGAGATAAATTGCGTTAAATGTTACGCGGTCAAAGCTTCTCATTAGCACTTTTGAGGTATTCAAATTTTATGTCGAGTTTTTCACTAATGTTCAGATAACGTTAATTTTCAATCTAAATATCTCTAGGCCCAACAAACATTTTGGTAATTTGAGCTACTCTACTCACTGCTCATTTCCATTGGAACATTAAAAACTGAAAACATTCTATTTATTTCTCTTCAAAATGCTATGAAACCTGTAACAGAAGGTCATTATAACTGTAAACTCTGAGCCATATTTTTTCATTTGCCGTGACGATATCAAAAAGTGGTTAACTGAAATATTGTAATCATAAGATCATAAATATTTTGTTCATTGAAACTTTGTTGTCATCTCTCATAGGAACAGAAATAAAAACAATCCAAGTTGGCGATTAGAGCACCCTCCTATTACAGATTTTCCGGTGTATAGTTCGGTATCAAGTTTATTTTTGTTTCCTGATAAATGCCACTTCAAAATTATCAGGCACATTTCTTTAAACCTTCAAACCCATATTTTTCAGATTTCAAAACATTTCCACCAATGTTCGATTTTATTTCGTTAAAACGAAAAATTTTTCCAGGGATTCAGGCTTATTTTCAACAGTGAAACCACGCAATCCAACTGAATAACTTTGGAAATTGCCTAACTCTATGCCTATTGGCGGCTAACCTGACGTGTATTTACCGGCACAACATTATATGCACATTTGTGCACTGTAGTTTGGTAAACATTACTTCTATTCTTCTCTCTATTCTCGAGCTCGTTTGGAGCATCAAACAGCTTTACGCTCGCTTTCTTGCGGACGTTTTACCTTATCAGACAACTAGGGCCTCAGTTTTACGTCGCGTTTTGTTTCCGTCTGCTCGTTGTCTGGAGTAGTTAAGTTTTATTACCGTTTGTGTGCAGCAAGTCGGGACAAGACGAATAAAAGTCAGAGTCGTTTCGAAAATGGAGAGGTGGAGCAAGTTTGTCCCTTACCAATGCACATTTTGTTTAGGAATTAGGCAGATGCTATAATGCGAAATAGGAAAAATTGTCGTAAAAGTTTCAAGTGTGTTTTTTCTTCGTTTTTTTTTCCGTCAAAATCGCAATTCATCCTAATTTTTCAATTCGAGTGGTTCTTTAGTTTCTTTAAATTTTTTATTCAATTTTTCCAGAAATTTTT